ATTCAAGTGAAAATGATTATCTAGTTAATCTAGTTAATCTAGGTGCAATTACAAATGGTGTGATTCCTGAATTCAGTCATGCACAAGTGCATCTACCTGTAAATCCTTCTTTTCTCATATGCAAATTATCAGGTAATAAGTTTCTGTAAATTAGTTATACTCGTTTACCTTGTTTGCATACCCCAGTATGAAAAAGCTGTATGTTTTGGAACAAACTGTATGTCAAGACTATGTTTAGCTTCCAATGTTGATGTCTGATAAACAGGCGATAGCTTGCTTACGTCGTTAAGGACCTGTTTTTTTAGAAGTAGTTCCTCCAATTTAACTGCAGCAGTTGAACCTATATATGTAATAGTATACTTATATTTAAACAACTTATGTTGACATTAATTCATGTTTAAATATTGCAATATGTGGTATTGATTCTGTATTAATTATGACATAAGGGAACTCATATAATAATCAGTACCTTTCTCTAACCATAACCTATCCCTGCTCTCTCCCTCAAGCCTGCCATGACCACATTTGGGGTATAAAGCATTACCACCACTGTGTACATCTTGTATATGTAATGGCAGCATCTCCCATTTGGCTTTGATAAGATCGCCGTTACCATCAGGTGTTGAAGCAGCACACCAGTACATGTGGTTGCAAATAGATTGCTTCCATTCTCCAACATCACTGCATTCCTTTTTTTTGGCAATCTTATCAATTTTTTTGCCCAGACCTGTAGCACAAAATACATGAATTTATTGGTATAAAGCTCATTAATCAGATCTACTAAGAGATAGTTTAGTGTAATTTCTCTGTAATAATAATAAGTTACATTTATCCTAATATATACAATAAGAAAAGAAATATTGAAAAACAAAGGCTATCTTGACATAAAGTTTTTGTGTGTATTAAACTGATAGTCAACATGTAATTGATACCTTTAGCAACATGCCAGATATCATAGTAGTGCTTTGTGCCAGGAAGTTTTGTGCGAATGTACTTGGATATAGATGTACTTCTGTCTGTTATTAAAGTGTCTACTGACAGACGTTCTGCTGTAAAGAGTGCCACACTCCTCTTTAGTCCTTCTACTTCCATCCAGGCACTGTTCTTTACTTCATTGCTCTGAATTTTGGATTTGAAATATTTTATGAAAATGGAAAATACATAAATAGATAAAGAAAGAATCTATCTTATACATATAGGGAGCAGAATTTTTGTGTTTTGGTGTATATTGAAGAAGTATAGAATATTATGAATAGAAGAAATTAATAAAAAAATGATTGTCTCTTGATGTGTACAATCAATTGTTATGTACTTTTTGTCCATATGTTAACACGGGTGATAGTCGATAACCTTTCCGCACATGGGAAATGACTTTAAGTAAGTTGAAATGACTGACCAACCTGGACAAGTTGAAAATCAAGTACACGGTTTGTCTGCTGCTCAATAACAGTGTACGATCCAAATTTGGCACTGTGTCCTGGCGAGTCGCACCTTCCATCTCCAGAAAGGATAAGGGCGTTCCCCTCAYTTCTCATCTTTTCCAATAGTTCCCCTTGTTCTTCCTTCCAGCGCTTGATTATGGTAGGGTTAACATAATTTGTTGTGTGACGATAAAATGACGATCGTGACACACAGGCCACATTCATGAAGTGGAACATTCTCAGGGTTTTTTCTGTGGGAAGACCTATAACCTTGCATTAATAATTTAGAATAAAGGAGAAAAAAAGGAAAGCCAAATTATCAAAGGTGAAGTCATGACGCAAGAATACCTGCCATCATTATTGCTGCGGATAAAAGAAGATTTCCCACTGGCATTGTCCGCACGAAATTCTGATTCGTCCACGTTTTCTCGTGTGCGCAATTGACGCCCTTGCACTTTTGGACTACTTTTATGAAAGTCCCTTGTCTATCTGTAATCTTCCCGTCAGATGGACCACTGCAAACCTGACACCAACGGAACAATTCCAACAGAGCACTTTCAAAAACTATATATTTCTTCTCGTTATGATATTGTCCAGAACTAAAAAAGAGCGATAAAGAAATGTGAGTACTAATGTAGAGGGTGAAGGAAGAATGCAGTCTAATGTGACACCCCTAAAAATGTGCAAGTAATTTTGATAAGGAAAAATTCCTCCTATGTATAACTAGGTTMAATGTAGTCAGTTGATAAACAGAAAGCTTACCCGCTTGATATTTCCTCTTCATCGGGAGATATCTCTTTCGTTTCCGCTTCTTCATCAGAAGAGGGAGGGAAGTAACTTAGGTCTTCATTGTCGTCATTGCCTTCGGCCTCAAAATCATTGTGCATTTCTGTTTCCAGTGGGGGGAGATTGAGCAGATTACATTGAACACCAAAGTCTTGTTTTTTGTTGCTTTCTACAGTTTGGATAGCTAGTAAGAGGAGAAATCAACAGCGCGGTCATACAAATGTTACTGTTATGCTAAAAATGAATTGTAAGTCCCGGTTCATGATTTAAACGCGCTATATACAGTATTATTTTACTCACCCTTACTCCTCCTTTCTGGTCTTCTGAGAGACTTTTGTGTGGCCTTATTTGCCGTTATCAGGGTATGACGTATGGGCACTACTGAAATCGAATCATCATCTAGAGCTACCGCAGGTTCGAGAATGGACGTGTTGTCTTCTGTGGCATCCTTGGCAGCTAACGCAATTTGTTTCATGGTCTAAATCAAAATTTTTGTTAAAGATTGCTCTAAAAATCTAACTGTCATCGTGACCTCGTAACTTACCCGATGGGCACGCAGTTTTGTGAGAGCGCTTGCACCTCGACTGTCAGGACGTCGTCTTGGGGTAGTTTCGGTACTTTCCTTCGAGAATCCAGGCGATGGCGTACGAAACGAAAGCTTACGAGCCTTTTGAAGTTGCTCGGGGGTTGGGGTTGCTTGTATAGAAGGGACGGCTCCCCGTTTTAGGACAAGCTTRCTCGAAAAACCGGCAATTTTTGCCCCGTAACCTTCATAATCGCTTGCTAAGAAGTGATCACTACATATATGACCCGTTCCTGGGGTCCACGCTTTTCCATCGCGCTTGGCGAGAACAAACTTATTCCATTTTTGGCATAAGCTTGGATCCCTCGGAAACTGATGTAAACTTACGCTGTCCTCATTAGTCTTATTGCAAAACATAACTACACATCGCTTGCCGGAGCGTCGTCGCTTTTGACCAACTAGTGCACTAGCCATGTCTCACAAGCGGCAAGCAGAAATGACCGTAGAATCTTCAAGTTTGCTATTGTGAAATGCTTTGGGTCGTCATTTACGTAACATATATTAAGTACACAACTAATCAGATCAGTTTAATGGCTTTATTTTGCAAGAAATGTAGTGCGCGTGTTAAAGTATTGCAAAAGCTTTGATAACCCTTGTATTTACTTACACACGTGTGACGTCACCGCTTGCGTGACACCTTTTCGGCTTGTTTTTTGTCACGCCAAAAAATTATACTCTTTCTCTCGCAAATTATATCACAAGATCGTTTTTATTAGTAATTTTAGCATTCAAATGATAATAATAATGATATTGCAAATAAAATAAGATCTTTAAAAAGTGGTTCAAAAGTGTTAAAAAATTGCCGGGACGGGTCCTTTAAATTGAGTTTGTCACGCAAGAGTTACTACGATATTTTAAGAGTTTAGCATTAAATTTGTACTCT